AGTACATCTACTTATGAATCGACCGATACGAGCATAACCTGGTAGCATCCCTCTTACGATTGTATTTGATGCGACCTCACGACTAGGCCAGCTTAACCCCACTTACCCCTCGGCTGCTCGCTGAACGAAGAGAGGATTTAAAAGTATATTTCCAGCTGCGAACATCAGCTGCTGGTACCCTGCCACGTTTAAGCGTGCGAACTGTCAAAACACTCGCATCGTTCAATAATTGGATTCGAGGGGGTTAGACGAGCACGCTTGCTCGCGTTCTTCTTCTTACATCCCTAAAGGAAATTATTTTTCTAACCCTCCGATAGCTTATCATCGACGACCACGATTTCGATGTCATTTCCAAATCCTGCATAATTCCTTAAATATTATTTTTTACAAAATAACGCGTTGCAAAATGATTTTCGAAAGTCACTACTCGTAAAAATCTCAACAACCTTGATCCAAAGAACCGAGTGACATTTTGAGAAACCTTTACTTTTTCCCTATCGGCAATCGTAAGGTGGATGACTTCAAAGGGATGGATAATTAAGCTCGCTCTAAAGGCGATTAGAGAGGGTGACTAATCAGAACGTTAGCTAGTTCATTAAACGGAATAATCGTGTGACCGGGTCCTCTGTCGGAAGATTTTCTATTAGAATAGATAACGATTTTTCAGCCGATGCGATCACACGGTGCAGACACATTTTATAATCATTTTTTCAAAGAGCCACGGAAGCTGGTATGTTTACCGCGTGACAAATGGAGCAGACGGAAGTGAAACCGAGTCAACGTGACACGTAACTCGATGACGTGTTAAAAATATACTTTTTCATAAACCTCGAATTATGATTCACTTTTCGAGAATGGGCTATTTTCGACATCGCCTCTAGTAAATCGAACGATAGAGCCAAGTTCTTTCTCTGAACGATTTTATCGACGTTCTCTACGTAATAAAACTTTTGCTAATTCAAAATTAAGTGAAATTCGAAACGATAGTACGGTCATTTTTATTTCGAAACTCCATCTAATAGCAAAAGCGAAGGTTGCATTTTAATTAAATTGCCTGTAGTTTTAATTTTAATTAAGGTTTGTATAACCAGCCATCCTTAGGCAAAGATTTCTCCGACGAGGAAAAAATGATAAAGCAAGAGTTTAATGAGTTTCAATCGCTGGATAGCTCTCGGAAGACTTCTTTTTCCGAAAGGAAGAAAGACTCTTCCTTCCGACCATTAAACTCTTCATGAACTTGCTTCGATAATCGTCGCAGACGTCGGCCTACGATGGTGGCAATTAATCACGAAAAATCGTTGAATTCGCGGATCGATCGAATTCGCTTCGAAAACCTTCTTTGTGTGTGCTTTCGCCTCCGGTGAATCTCATTAAACGGACAAGCTATCGATACTCGCATGTACACTCGGTATAGCCAATACGTGTGCCATAGGCTGGCCACGTACGACTCGGTATATGTGTATCCAATAACACACACGTACACGATTCCGTTGTGTGGACATAAAGAATCCACTCGCTGTGCGAGTAAATGAACCAGTTCTTCCAGTAACTAGAAAAGAGTCTTGGATAATTACGAACGTGTTAGTTTGCGAATTTCGCTGCAAAATCGCCGTTACTGCTCTTCGGAATTCTTTAAATATAACAATTGCGTGGTTACGGGAACGGAGAAGGAATGTTATTTTTCAATTGTACAACGGAGGTTGGACGTAATGTAACGTGAATTGCTTTACTTCCAACATTATAGAACATCTCTTTGTTGCAAGTATTATTTTCCGAACTCGGAAGAGAACTCAGAGGCTAATAGAAGCATAGAGGGAACTCCTGAAGCCCAGAATTCAGCGTCTGCGGTATCGCTTTCTCTCATCCCGAAGAAGAGTAGGCAGCTTTCAAAGTTTGACCACCTATTTTCCTGCTACGCTCGATAACTTCCTCGCGTGGCAAATTTGATTTTCAACTAATCCAGCAAGGCAGAGCATACGTTCCAGAGACGTCGAGAGCGCGAACGATGATACCGGAGAGGCGATAAAAATCGTGGCAACCGTTAGGTTTGAGCACCCTGTATAACACTTATACCATGGTCGTCCACCACGATGAAAGAGAGTAGGGCTTAATCAGTTAGTCGATAGGCAAATTGGCTTAGAGGCAGCGACCGACAGCAGGGTGGTTTACAGAACCAGCAAGCCCCTCGCTGGATAGCTCTCGGAAGACTTCTTTTTCCGAAAGGAAGAAAGACTCTTCCTTCCGACCATTAAACTCTTCATGAACTTGCTTCGATAATCGTCGCAGACGTCGGCCTACGATGGTGGCAATTAATCACGAAAAATCGTTGAATTCGCGGATCGATCGAATTCGCTTCGAAAACCTTCTTTGTGTGTGCTTTCGCCTCCGGTGAATCTCATTAAACGGACAAGCTATCGATACTCGCATGTACACTCGGTATAGCCAATACGTGTGCCATAGGCTGGCCACGTACGACTCGGTATATGTGTATCCAATAACACACACGTACACGATTCCGTTGTGTGGACATAAAGAATCCACTCGCTGTGCGAGTAAATGAACCAGTTCTTCCAGTAACTAGAAAAGAGTCTTGGATAATTACGAACGTGTTAGTTTGCGAATTTCGCTGCAAAATCGCCGTTACTGCTCTTCGGAATTCTTTAAATATAACAATTGCGTGGTTACGGGAACGGAGAAGGAATGTTATTTTTCAATTGTACAACGGAGGTTGGACGTAATGTAACGTGAATTGCTTTACTTCCAACATTATAGAACATCTCTTTGTTGCAAGTATTATTTTCCGAACTCGGAAGAGAACTCAGAGGCTAATAGAAGCATAGAGGGAACTCCTGAAGCCCAGAATTCAGCGTCTGCGGTATCGCTTTCTCTCATCCCGAAGAAGAGTAGGCAGCTTTCAAAGTTTGACCACCTATTTTCCTGCTACGCTCGATAACTTCCTCGCGTGGCAAATTTGATTTTCAACTAATCCAGCAAGGCAGAGCATACGTTCCAGAGACGTCGAGAGCGCGAACGATGATACCGGAGAGGCGATAAAAATCGTGGCAACCGTTAGGTTTGAGCACCCTGTATAACACTTATACCATGGTCGTCCACCACGATGAAAGAGAGTAGGGCTTAATCAGTTAGTCGATAGGCAAATTGGCTTAGAGGCAGCGACCGACAGCAGGGTGGTTTACAGAACCAGCAAGCCCCGGCAGTGGCCAGTGGCCGAGTGGCGAATCAACCCTTCGCCGATAAGAGCCGCGTCGTGTCCCCGATCCTCGTACAGGTTTCCCCTTTTCGACGAATCGTCAACTCGAAATTTACCGGTCGAACGGAACGGCACAGGAAGTGACGTGGATCTCCCATTTTCGAGCTAGCCAGTGCACTCTGTCATCCCGTAGACTGGAACGTGGCTACCCGAACAGTGCTGGCTTCCTTTGGGGACCGATGATTATTCGGGGACCAAAGTGGCTAGAAACCGACCCGCGTACAACGATCCAGGCAGTTTGATGGATATTCGAGGGACCTTCCGGCGGATGTGGCTAGTGGGCCGATAAGCTGGCTCTGTGCTATCGTGATAAGGGATTCCGGGGTTGTTCCAGGGGATTCGGGTGCGACAGTTGCTGCATTCGACAAAGAGGATCGGCACGGTAGAATGTGCAGCTGATCGGTGAGTCCGTGTGCTCGATGATGCTTTCCTTTTTGTGTCAGATCGAAGTGGAATTCGTTTCGATTCTCTTTGGATCGAGGAAAAATCGGCACTGACCATAGACACGGTTGTGTTTCATTACATAATAATGCATTGTACGTCCCCGTAGTTGAAATTGGAAACGATTTTTTAAATAAGGTGAACGTATGAAAAAAATAGTTTATCAATATTTAATTATCTCGCAATTTGGCCGAAATACGACGACCTCGCCACTAGAGGGAATCCCAGTAGTCGCTTCCAACGTGTCTGAAGCACGAGCCAGATAACCTTACTTACGAGCCCTCGACTACGGTCCTCCGAATTTAAATACGATTTCAAGAGAACTCGACAAAGTCCAAACTATCGTCCTCGCTCAAAATGACCTTTAATATTCTTGAAGCGAGTCTGGACACACGAGAACTAGAGTTTTTCAACATTAATCGAAATAACTACAGTTAATACTGTTTGGGGATTTCGAGCGTAAGCCATGCTCAGTACACAAGTCTGCTAATAGTGTCAGTGCTTCTTCTGACCTCTCATGGAGGTAACTCTGATGAGACGTTGGAAAGAATTTGCTTATGGATATGACTCGAAGTCCCAAATTTTACATCATTCTAGACAACGTCTATAAATCGTTTGATTTAGTCAAAATTGTAGTGAATACAAAAAATAAAGTGAACATCTAGTGCATCCTAATGGCGAGCTATATCTTACAAACACACGAGCCCTTAAATAACTCGGTTTAGCTAACTTGGTTCAGGTTAGGTTGGGTTAGCATAGTTACCTAAACCAAACGCTTATGCGGCATCGTTAGCATCTCGCTATCGGACCAACGTATTCAATGAAGAGAATAATTTCGCAGAATTATCACTACTATAATTAAATAACTTTGGACCTAGTTAGTTCCCTAAATATCGTGTACTTGGTACATTAAGTAGCTCGTTAATTAATCTAATGAAAAGTTCTATACTTTGCAAACTTATCTTTAACAACTTGTTGGCTTCAACTTGATATTAATTTTTTACCTTTCATCTTGTCTGTGTATATTGTGTCTTCCTCAAGGAAACAACTTTGTCAATAATCAGTTTGAAAAAATTTGTGTATTTTAAAAAAGCTGCACTTTAAAGTGAACTGCCATATGAATACTCTTGACGAAGGCGAATTTACCTTTGTACGTAACACAGGAGCAATATTTGAGGACTCTTTATCGCGAAATTTTTGGACTTTGGGGAAATGTATGCTTTCCAGATTGCATCATCGTACTCGTAGCTCCGATGACACCGTTTTAGAGTTCACGTTTGTTCCAGGAATGACGAGGCAATCTCTGGTGATCCTATGCTGCTACCTGTACACGCTCTTTGACATGGCGGCGCTACATTTTCCGTGAGTAGGCGAACATGTTTGGAAGCTAAAAGCCCGCGATCGGAATAGAACACTCGAGATTAGCCTTGATCGAAGACGGAGAGGAGGCTTCCGCGATTAATTTGCCCGACTCGATCATTGTCGTCGATCGATCGAGATCTCTCTCGGGCCTCTCTACCCGTGTCGTTTGCTTAGTCTCCGCGAATTTCGTCTCTGTCTCTTTCGATCGCTGGACAACGCGATCTCGAGGACGATTTCGTGGCCTAGTTGTAAAAAAAGAACCAACATACCGTCGCTGGAACGTGACGAGTTACGAGATTTCCTTCGCGATCGATTCCTTCGGTGCTCGTCGATATTTTCTTTCTACTTTCGGACACGTTAATATTTCATCTCGCACAACTTGCAGAAATAATGTTTTGACACTCGATATCGATACGTATACGACATTAACTAACTCTTTCGCTCCGCGATATTACGTGCTCGACGAATGGAAAATCATGTACACGTTACGTCGTCGAAAACTGAACGTTTAGGTACGTGCCCAAAGATTGAATGCGGAACCCTCGCGTTAGAGAGCATATTTCCAAGAAAATTGGAAACAATATTTCATCGGAAGATGTATAGAATATAAGATGCAATCGTGCGTTGTAGGCACTCGCTATATCAGTGTCAAGACCTGTTCCATCTACAAGGAATATACTTTATCACGAGTGCGCCGGAGTGAAAGGGTTAAATCCTTAAAAGTCGAAGAAAATAATATTCGAAGAGAAGGAACTTCGAACAGGAAATTTTTAGTTATCTCGTTAATATCGAAAGCATCGATCGAAGGAAAGTTGTTGAAAGTATTTGCGAATGACCGTTGAAATTTTCTGAACAAAATCGAAAGTACTTCGGGAAGGAGAATCGAGTCGAAGACGGACGCGATGAACTCGTTCTCGTTGCAAAACCTGGCGACGGTACAAGCTGCCCCAGCATCACCCGCGACTGTGTCGAGTTTCAGCGAGGAAATATGCGAACCGGTACTTTCCACTGAGGTCGAAGGCTGGCATATTAAGGTCGATAGCCTATCGTCCAGTACGTTTCGACTTTCGGCGAGAAAGCGTGGGTACCGATTTTTTCCGAAGATCGAAAGGTAACGCACCAATAGATCGACATCACTTAAAAAATCTACGGAGTTCCCTCGCTCGTTTATAAAATTTCTCTGCTCTAGGACGAGGTTCGAAATTTTATATTTTTTACGCTCGATTCGATGTAACAAAATTTTGTCGCTTTGAAAACTGAGTCCCCACTTTTCGCTTCGACTTTCCTTTGGAAGAAATTTTGAAATTCGTAGAAGCAAGCGAGACGCGTATCGTTCGGTTTAACGTAACAAAGGGGTTTATTGTACGTTCGATGAAAGGGGAAAGGATAAAATTTCTTTGATCGACGTTTAATAATCGATTTGGAGGAAACTGAAAGGAAACTGCTGAAAGTCTTGTCATAGATTATCGGCTTGGCAGGTTTCACGGCGCTAGAAGGCGCCATGCTACTCGTTTCGCATCGTAGTCCACTTGAGTCGCCCTGGCTAAACGGACGTCGATCGCGAGCACTCTTATCTCGACTTATCAACCTCATAATCCGCGATCATTCGCTTCTTTCAGTCTAAAACTACCTATCGAACCTCTTATACTTTCTTTGGATGCCTTTCCATAAAATAAATTATGCTCCGAAATTTAACAAACGGTGATTTCATATTAATTGTTCCAAGTTAATTACAAAACACGCTTTGAAATTCATTTTTCCGAGTTAATTAGAAATTGTGCTTCGAAATGACTTTTTTCGAAGCGGTTGCCAATCACGTTTTGTAATGCCCCCAAGCCAAGTATAACACAATTGAATATTTCCGAATCGATTGCTCGAAATTTAATTTTTCTAAAACGGTGACGAATCGAACCTCAAAGTCAATTTCTTTCACGTCAGTTGCTTCCATTCGAGAAATAATTTGACCGAGCGATTTTTTCGAGTTAAATGGAGCAAACGTACAGCGTCGAATATCGAGCTCGATCGAACCTTCTGGATTCTCGGTGGAAATCGAGTTAACGCGCTACGTAGTCGACAAAATCGAGCCGCCTATAAATCAATGTGGTGCGGAGGGGTGAATTGCGGCGAAGGAAAGTGGAAATTCTTGGGGAAACCGGATCCGGAGGTCGTAGGTTAGCATATTAAAATGTCCGCATGTAAGGAACACACGTATCTCGGCCGGACTTAAAGGTGTGCCAAGCACGAAGACCTATTATGGCTTCCGCGATATTGCTGTTTCATCGGAATCGCGGCAATATTTTAGACTCGCTCGTACCGTTCGTGGACTTCCTTTGCTCTCGATATTTCCTTATTTGCGACATTAACTCGAACGTTAACTTTATCTAAATTTAACATTTCTTTCATGTTTTTCAACGTCACGCTACGTCTTTATTCTTAACGTCGGAACGATCAGCATCTAGTCAAACGATCACAACCCTTTTGTCCTGGAATAAGTTCGCGTCAACTTTTACAATTTTGCAATTAGGTCAATTCAGGCTGCGACACGAAAGATCAAAAGAAATATCCGAGTCAAAGCACAGTTGCAGTTTTAGATATCGGATTGAAAGATAAAATTATAAAACCGGTATTCTTGACGGTAAGCATTGTATTGGCTGCATCGCGTTATTTCGTTTGAGTGCACCGAATTTAATAAAATAATAATGCGCTAAAAACATCCAGGACTTTCCTCTCGATTACCATATTCTATACATAAACAAGTAGGTATTACACGGGTCGAAAATAATGCAAGAAAAAAGCTGCAACGTGGAAGCACGAGTGGGAAGAGCACCGAAAAAAGAATGGAAGTAGTTTGAGATGTTCTTGATTACCATATTCTATAAATGCACGAGTAGCTAGTATAAATTGAGACCTCTCGACAAAAGTAAAATATCCCGACGATTCTTTATTTCACTTTACCGAACCATTTGAACACTTCCATTAGCATATATCGTAGAGTTTGCGAATCGCAACCGATAACCGTTATGCGAGTAACATTAACCCTAAAAGGGTTGCGACGGAGAGATTCATCGGCAAGAACGAGGTAGGATCGGGTTATCCTACGTCAATAAATTTCTCAATTACAGTATTCTAATGGCGGGCAAATTGGTTCGCGAGAGACACCGGGCAGAGAATTCACGAGTTTCCCTCGTCAGCCTCGCTTCTCCTCGCTTCTGCTTTCTTCCAGGGAGTCGGATCTCGAGGAGTACGGCAGGAAGGAGGCCTCTTTGTCACTGAAAGACATCCTACCCTTGAATCCGAAGCAGTACGACAAGCACAGGGCGCCAAAGTTCTTGGGACAGCCTACTATCGTCTACTTCCATGTCACCGTGCTCAGTCTCGACTCCATAAACGAGGAGTCTATGGTAATTTCGACATAAATGCTTTCCAATTAACCTCCATAGCGATGTACAGGACACCTCAAAAGAGAGTACTTTTCAGACATACGTTGCGGACATATTTCTGGCACAGAGTTGGCGGGATTCGAGGCTTCGACTTCCGGAGAACATGTCCGAAGAGTACAGAATACTGGATGTTGACTGGTTGCACAATATCTGGAGACCCGATTGCTTCTTCAAGAACGCGAAGAAGGTCACCTTCCACGAGATGTCGATACCGAACCACTATCTTTGGCTGTATCACGACAAAACTCTACTTTATATGTCAAAGTAACGAGCACGGAAAGTTCAAGGATGAATCTCCGGCTAGATCATTTATAAACCGCTGTTTCTTCTTTTAGATTGACTCTCGTTCTCTCCTGCGCGATGAAGTTCGAGTCCTATCCACACGACACTCAGATTTGCTCAATGATGATCGAAAGTTGTACGTACATTAACGTTGCCGAAATGTTAGAGACGTCGCAAACGTGTTTTCGATTCGCAGTGTCGCATACGACGCAGGATTTGGTGTTCATCTGGAACATGACGGATCCGCTGGTGGTAAATCCAGAGATCGAGCTGCCGCAGCTGGACATCTCGAACAATTACACGACCGACTGCACGATCGAGTACTCCACCGGGAACTTCACGTGCATTCAAATAGTATTCAATCTGCGTCGCCGTCTAGGATATCACCTGTTTCATACGTATATACCGTCCGCGCTGATCGTGGTATTCACGAGTTTCCCTCGTCAGCCTCGCTTCTCCTCGCTTCTGCTTTCTTCCAGGGAGTCGGATCTCGAGGAGTACGGCAGGAAGGAGGCCTCTTTGTCACTGAAAGACATCCTACCCTTGAATCCGAAGCAGTACGACAAGCACAGGGCGCCAAAGTTCTTGGGACAGCCTACTATCGTCTACTTCCATGTCACCGTGCTCAGTCTCGACTCCATAAACGAGGAGTCTATGGTAATTTCGACATAAATGCTTTCCAATTAACCTCCATAGCGATGTACAGGACACCTCAAAAGAGAGTACTTTTCAGACATACGTTGCGGACATATTTCTGGCACAGAGTTGGCGGGATTCGAGGCTTCGACTTCCGGAGAACATGTCCGAAGAGTACAGAATACTGGATGTTGACTGGTTGCACAATATCTGGAGACCCGATTGCTTCTTCAAGAACGCGAAGAAGGTCACCTTCCACGAGATGTCGATACCGAACCACTATCTTTGGCTGTATCACGACAAAACTCTACTTTATATGTCAAAGTAACGAGCACGGAAAGTTCAAGGATGAATCTCCGGCTAGATCATTTATAAACCGCTGTTTCTTCTTTTAGATTGACTCTCGTTCTCTCCTGCGCGATGAAGTTCGAGTCCTATCCACACGACACTCAGATTTGCTCAATGATGATCGAAAGTTGTACGTACATTAACGTTGCCGAAATGTTAGAGACGTCGCAAACGTGTTTTCGATTCGCAGTGTCGCATACGACGCAGGATTTGGTGTTCATCTGGAACATGACGGATCCGCTGGTGGTAAATCCAGAGATCGAGCTGCCGCAGCTGGACATCTCGAACAATTACACGACCGACTGCACGATCGAGTACTCCACCGGGAACTTCACGTGCATTCAAATAGTATTCAATCTGCGTCGCCGTCTAGGATATCACCTGTTTCATACGTATATACCGTCCGCGCTGATCGTGGTCATGTCCTGGATCGCGTTCTGGATCAAACCCGAAGCGATCCCCGCTCGGGTCACGCTCGGAGTGACGTCACTGCTGACCCTCGGTAAGCTCGTCCGGATCGACTTTTACGAAAGCAAACGTTTTCGAATCGGCTATTTTCTTTCCCTTTCTAAGCTAATCCTCCATCGAATACGAATCGATAGAACAAACCCTCGTATGGAAATCAAGTAACCGCTATCGATAAACTCACAGCCGAAGGTACAAAGCGATTCGATCAAACGATTTAACGGAATAATTGTCACGGGACGAGCAAAACGGCAATGCGGCTATGACGCAATTGGGAAAGCGTAACGTAGGCACCGGATATATCCGTCGAAGCGTGCGACGATTCAATATTAGCATAGGGGCGAACAGAGAATCGAAGAAGTCGAATCGAGCTACTGACCGAGAAACGATTTTCCCTCTGTGTCCACAGCCACTCAGAACACGCAGTCCCAGCAATCACTGCCACCGGTTTCCTACGTGAAGGCCATCGACGTGTGGATGTCCTCCTGCAGCGTGTTCGTCTTCCTATCCCTGATGGAGTTCGCCGTGGTCAACAACTACATGGGCCCTGTGGCTACCAAGGCCATGAAAGGATATTCCGACGAAGATCTCAGGGAAGCCATCGACGAATTCAAAGTAAGATCACGCGCTTTCTCTCGCGAACCAAGATACAGCTAATCGAAAATTTTACCGTGAACGTTGGAATTTCCGTAATCTTTTCTTCGAAGGAGTCTCAAACGACAAAGCGTCGAAGTGTTAAGTACTTAAACGAGGCTCGATATGAAATCTGTCTTAAGCTGTTCTTTGGCCAGATTTTTCAAGCTTCGCAGATATTATACAATATTTAATTGGGTTACTAGTTAGATTACTTAAGATAGTTAATTGGGTTTGCGCCTGGAAGGCAGTCTCCAACGGCAAAAGGTTAATTGACCCACGTGAACGACCTAGCGATGAACATTGCGGACGAAGAAGCTATATCTCGAGCTCGAGTGAAAAAAGAGCGAGGAAAATTTGCGAGAAAGGGTTACACAAAGGGTAGAGAAACGGTGGCCCGTTTTCATTGGTAACGGGCATAATTCATGGAATCGTGGCGTGGTCTCGTTTCCCATTCAGCCACAGGGAATTATACATCTCGAACTTACAATTAGTAGGGTTAAGCGTTTCTGAACGTTGGACGAGGGTATTAATGAATGGCTGTATGCTAAACATGGCCGAATTCCAGGTTTTTTACCGGTAAACTCGATGCGGTTTAAAAAATAACTGCACTGCGGTTGGCGAAAAAGGGGAGGTGCCTATTGTGACTCGAAAAAAGAAAACATCGAAATAAAACGGTTTTACCAAGGAGTTATATTGCTTTAAATGAAAGTTTTAGAACATCTGGTATAAATAAGAGGCTGGTAACACGTGGCGCGCTCGGATTTTTATTAATTTTGCTAGCTACGAGCTCTCATAAAACGATTCCCGAGAGCTGGAAATTTTGTTTATTTAACGATACGTTTCGCTAATTGGTATGGGCCGAGGTTAAAAATGAAAAACGAGTAGCCAGCGTGTAACTCCCGATCTCTCCTCCGTAGAGCAAACATTTTCGCGGCTAATCATTAACGCGTTAATACGAAAACGAGGCCGTTTGCGACGCGTACACGACGGGGTCTAATTAACGAGCTCGGTGTGCCGTGAATTTACCACGGGATGCCTTTAAATTCTTCATACTTACGGCCGTGTAAACGGAAAACGAGAACGCAAACGGATCGATCACTTTCGGCGTTGGAGACGCTTCCACTCGCAAAAAATGCAAAGGATCCTTTTCGAAAAACCGATTTCGTCTGAGCTACTGTTGAAGAGCTCGGAAGTGAAAAATTATTTCGATAGAGTGTGCGAGGTTGAAGTTTGTAAAGAGGTCCTTTTTTAACAGACGCCAATGAGGAATGATTCCGAAAGAAGCAGGAGTCCAGTGAGACCTGCGACCGTTCAATACGACACCTGCTGCCAGGGTCGGGCGACTGCGATTTACATCGACAAAGTCTCCAGATTCTTCTTTCCGTTCTCTTTTCTCATCCTGAACGTGGTTTATTGGAGCACCTTTCTATAAAAAGGTGCAGCTTCGTTCGACGAAAGGAACGGAAGTGGGAACGAGAATCGAAATCGTCGACGGTCATCGATCGAAGGGCTTCGCTCGATCTTTGTTAACTGCTGCTCCATAAAATCTTGCTACATCCACGGAATTGCTTAATCTCATTTTGCCGCAAGATTTACGACGTCACCGAGTAGCGATTAACAAAGGCTCGAATGAATTGGACGGTTTTTCTACGAGAGAAAGTCTGCTAGAAAAATTTTCAATGCCTTTTATATATAGAAAACGAGCACCGTGGAATACGGTCGCACGTTAATTTAATTAATTGTAAGCGTTTTAGAGATTAAGTCGCGTTAGCACGTTCGAGACCTGGAGGTTATTGTAAAATAATATTCGCAGGGTAGAATTGCTTTCTTTTGTACTTTTTCACTGCGACTAACACCGTGTAATTACAAACCATAATTACTATGATAAATGAGTATAAACTATGGTTATGAGTCATGGCTATGACCGTAATTGTTACCACAAAACGATTATTAGAAACCTCAACTACCATGGTTTAACAGAAACACGAATCAACCCTCTATGGAGCTATTAATTCTATGACGTCCATTAGGATCTTTGCTGAAAAATGTAAAAAGCAGACAATAATCGACGTGTTGTCGGTCTCGAACGCGCTAAGACTCCACAAAGAAAATGTATATTGATTGATTGAATGTACTCACCTGATCCGAAGACACGTAGATTGACTTCTCAGCCGTATCGCTGTAATATTTTGAAAAAAAGAATCTGTCTATTCAATCGCAGAACACAGTTTTATTCGTTATATGAGATCGCAGAGTTTAAGGACAAATAAAAGGAGTACTATACCACGTTCATACGATTGTTTAAATATTCAATTAAACTTGAAAACTTCCATTTCTGATAAATTTCTATTATTTAACACGTCATTACAGAAGTTATCGAATTATAATATAACTCGAGGATCTATAAAGATTGGTGTATAAAAATTATGCAACGATTTCTTTACAAATTATGTGGTCAAGAGAAATACATAGTAAGCAAAATAATGCTGCAATTTTGTTAATTAATTAAATCGAAGAAAGTGTGTTGAAATAAGTTGCTTCGAAATAAACTGTAAGCAAGAAAAGGAACTGGAAGACAGGGTAATGAAAGAGACGTCAAGTTTTCTAAAACAGTTCATTTATTCGTTCGAGAGATTCCTGGTTCGCGTGAATCGTGGTTTCCTGACTTTTGTCCCCTCTTCTTCCTGCCAGCCGATCGATGAAATCTGCTCGCTGAAACCACTGAAAGCTCTCTAAAGTCGTGAAAGTTTGAACTTGAAGAGTTCCTAAGCTACTCTTAGTGCCGCAAAACTGACAGCCACCTTCGGAATTCTTCTAGAAATTTAACTTACCATCAGAGAAAATTCGATTTTGCTGTTAAATTCGTTTTGGGACAAGTTCAACCGCTAAAATTGTTGGTACAAAAAGGGAAGGACTTTCGAGAACCTGCTCTTTGAGATCGAGAAAGTAAACAGTAACCATTTTTCTATTTTCGTTTAACCTTTCTGCTGCACCGTTTGCTAATTTTAAGTTTAACAAATGGAGGGTAAATCTAGTTGTATTATAATTTCTAAATTGTTATTGCAATTGCAGAGACGCGTAGAAATTGGGCCCATGAAAATTCGCATGGGAATTTAGTTTGTCTTGGAAATTCGACAAGGGTAAATACGCGTATACAACACGTAGGTCGTATAATGCGTAGCAAATAATCCAAGGCACAATGAAGAAGCAGATAATTAAAGGAGAAGAGAACGAAGATCGACAAAGGATCACGTTACTTCTCTTGCTGGCATCCCCTTTGAATAGCGTCACATTTTGTTTGCCGGTAAACGACCAGCAGTAATTAATTGGAACGAACGCGGTGGCTCAGGTTGCTCGTGGAGAATAATTAAATCCACACGTAAGTTGGCGTAATTGTGACGCGGTCGAATGGGTGGCTTGGTTTCGAGGTGACGGAACGTTGCCTCGAAAAAGATGTTCCACTTTCTCCCTCTGCTGCTTAATTAAAACAACGCGTCGTCGTCCGCTCTTCTCCGCTCGCTACCCGTGGCTCTTTAATAATAAACGTACAACCTTCCCTTTTAATAAGTTTTCACCCAACTTCCCTATGCCAGTTTACTCTGAAAGTTTCGAGAAACCGTTGTTGCATCTCGCACTGCGATCTCTCGAGATCTTTCGATAAAACTTCGACCAACTTGTTACACGAGATTTCGACTTTTCATTAATCGGATTCTCAAAACTTTTCAAATAACTGGTCTAATTTTCCGCTAATGTTATGCGTATACAATTTTTGAAAGACCCTGTATACTTTGAACGAGAGCATAATCGCATTTCCCTGGTGCCACCGATGATACGACGCGACTCAGGTTTCATTTCGCTTCATTGCCTTTTCCTTTTTCCGACGACGTTTCTGGACAACGATTCCAACCGTAACGATAATAATTTTTCCGACAGCTTTTCCCCCAGAGCAATCTGTTTTTGCCCAGCACGCGCCGCCACTTGAGGTTGTTTCATTCCTTGCAAACGCTGCTTTGCAGGCCGATCCAACTGCCACCTGTCTGTCTGCTTTTCTCTCTCTCTCGCTCCTTACAATATTCTCTCCGTCTCTCTCCTTTCGCGACGTCTCTCGTAGCCATTCGGTAGCCAGCTTTTATTTAGAGAGGGTGGCGGACTAGAGCGACGGAACTCTAAAAGGGTGAGTCAGCCCCTCTACCGAAAACCAAGACTACGATACCCCGAATAGAACTCGCGTGTACGTGCGCAAAAGACACCGGTCTGTCTGCTAGGCGAGAGAGTTTTTAATCATGGCATTTTATCCGGAAAGAACCTTTCTTTTCTCTTTCTGTGTTTACGCGGGCAAGCTTTCAGTCGGCACTCTTTGTACTTGGACGCGTTTCAACGATTTAACCCTCCTTCTCGAATTCACCCCTTAATCTCTTCCGTTGGCCCGTCCCCATAGCTAACTGCAAATTATGTGCCTGCGACGATTCGCACACTTTTTACTCTCTCTAACGCTTTCGTGGCATGCAACGCTTTCCAAGAATTTTCTACGTACGAATCTCCTCGAGGACGACTTTTAGAAAAACATGATTTTGAACTATTAATACGAATGGGTATGTACCCAAAATGAATTTACGCAGAATATCGTTAGGAAAATTTTCTTAGAACCATTAAGACTGAATGGGAAGGGAAGAAAGTTTCTATCGTACCGCATAACCTGTCCCCAAGGACAATTTCTTCTCCATTTTTCTGCCATTTACTGGATTTACTTCTAAATGTCAATGCTACCAGAATATTGCTTATGGAGTTGAAATGGGATTCGTGTCAATATCTAGAAAATCCAATAACTGACATATATTGCGCATTTTATTGATCAAGTTTGCCGACTTCAACCCTCTTTATCCGTACCCCTACAAGATCCAGTCCATAGTACCGAAGTTTCGGAACGGAGGAAAGAATGGCGATACGAAGGAGGAATAAGAGTAATTTGCAGACACAACGTGTAAATTCTGGGATAGTAATTTCGAGGTAAAATTTGACTTAAACGTTCGTCAGACTCTGCGTCAAGTTTCACGGAGCGAGCTTCAAAGCGGCAATTTGTCTGCGTTTGTCCTAAATTCGTCTCGAAACAGCGTGAAACGCGCAACGTGTGTGCTCAGCAGCGCGATAATTAGAACGCCTTTCTGCACCCGGGGCAATCAAATCTTCGTCCACGATTGTAGGTCGTAAATCAATGGAGATCCCCGTTTGCTAATTTCGTCCAAGTATTCCGCGAATGATCACCGCCTTCTATACCGGTAGATTCGAACTGGGTTACCGTGTCGAATAATATTTTTACGAAATATTCTTTGACGCAGAATCGTCGATAATAGAAGGCGTCTTCTTCCTCGATCCCCGAATACGATTTTAATTAAGACGCTTCCGATTTATTCTCGACGTGGTTGAAATTCCTGCCTGCTATATTGTCCCCGACGAATCACGGCCAAGTAATTACCGAATCATTCGAACGGCGGCGAACCGATTTCTTTGTCCACAATGTCCGAAAGCAGAATAATTGCTTCGCTACCTCTCGTTGCGAGTCCGTCCTTTCCGCGTTATCCATTAACGATCCACGGATCTCTCGTTAACAAGATCGTCGACGGAAAGTCGATAGTTAATTACGCAAATGACGGGATCTCGACTGTCGTCGCACTATATGTCTCGATCGATTTTAATTCACAAATATCACACTGTCTGTGGGCTTTAACTTTCGAACTGTATTATATCAGCGGATACTCTTAAGTATTTGTACATCCCTAGAACCTCTATCGCAATATATCTTTAGATCTGTAGATACTCATTACCTAGTTTCGGTTAACATAAAAGTTCTAATCTGTAGCAGAGTCCTTGACCGAAGCTCTGAAAATAAAGCGGGCAATCTGGCCTTCGAAAAAACGACGCGAACCAGTGTCCACGATCTAAAGTCATAAATTGTCGACTTGCAAACACCATAGTATCCCGTTTTAAACCGTCCATTGGGTAACGAACGCGTCCTGTTCACGAACACGCGTAACAAACACGAATCGATTTCCCGCGCTGGCGTTTGGCAAACACCGATTAATTTCGTGAACCAGTGTTTTCTTTCGACGTGCCATTCGAGAGTTTGGCAACTTACCCCCGACATGCAAATGCCACGGTATATCGAACGTCGAGTGTCACCGACAAATGATAAACGCTGGTTTATCGCGATAGCAAATACCAATTTAACGTGATATATTAGGTTGTCTCGGATCGAATGACGATTTGATAGACGCGGAAACTTTGATACCGTTTGTCGACGTAACGGTATCAAGTTACAATAAGAAGATATATGGGATAGACGTTCGTATTGACAAATTACTTCTTGGGATGGATGAAACGCGACTACGTCTAAGAACGATAGTTGCGGGATCTTGTGAAAGTCAGCGAATAAACGAAATGAAAGACTTGTTAAATATGAATTTGAATTTATTTTTCAGTTTTTGAGTAAGGCGTGGAAGCTACCGAAGACGGACAACACCACTGGCTAAAACGTCTTCACCCTGTTCCTAGTTACATCTATCGGGTGTACTCGTTACAACGTGTTGCTTGACCGCTGTCGATAAAATCTCTTCTTCTCCACTAAAACATTTTCCTTCTTCGTCCACGTATATCTATATATATACCTCTCTCTTTTTTTTACAGTTTACGATTAAAAATATTGTTATTGCCAAATACGATCGATAGACGGTGCGTAATTCCATCCGAAGAGCCTCCTCTAAGAGCGTAACAACTGTCCTGCTGTCCGCTTAGAAACCTAGATTAGTACACCGGAAACTGGACGTTTCCAACAGGATTGACGCAACAACGAGATGTGTATCGTCTCTCGGAGCAGACTATTCCACGAATAAGTCGCGGGAAATGATTGCATCTCTCTGCAAACGGAACCATGGAAACTCTGCTTAACGGTCACTTTACGTTGGTAGACTGACGATAACTCTCGAGTGTTCTAACGAGGAATGGGTGCTTTTACATCGGAGATCGCACCGCGTTATAACACTCCCGAGTTACCGTCATTCGGTTGCACGAATAGTGAACATTCTCTCCTTATATAGCCGTATAACGTGCGAAGACACTACGTGGTAATCTGACACGTAGTAGTCTAACGCGTAGCGATACAATGCACGGTAATCTAACACTTGGGAATGTAACTACAGTGGTCATCGAATATTTCACCTATTCAATTATAATCCTCAAAATGTCGATAAGCTAAGAAAAATCGCATATTCCAGAAAAAAGGTTAACAGCTTAAAACGGATTTAAAATGAAAGATAATCGTGGAAAAGTCTGCTCTAGAGTATCTCTTCTTAGCCCTCGCGTTGTTCAGCACATCTAGCCCATCGCTTTCCTTTCGAAAGTCCAGCTATTATTCGTCGAAACACGAGTACGATCTACTTTTATTATAAGATTTATTCTAAAAACACTCTAACACCGATCGGCTAAGCGTCGATCGATGGAATTTTTGAGATTCGAGTCGATTTTAAGGGGGACAATTAGAGATAGCGTGGCCGTGACAGTTCGAAAGGATAAGCGACGAACCTTCTCTCATCTCTCGCGGATTAATTAAGAAAATATATAAATAACGAAGGAATTTTGACGAGAGAAGTCCTGTTCGCGTGTAGCAAGTTGCACGTAAATCCGTCGATCTTCGATATCGGCGAAAATCTGGCCTGACGAGCGCCATGTTCGATTTAATCGGCGCTCGACGACGCACGCTACGACCACCATTGCGTAACTATTTAATTATCGTCGGGGAAGGGACTTCCAAAATTCGCCATTTAATTATTTGCGTATCCTTTCATCGAAGCTGCATCGACAACCCTCTATCCAGCAACTCTGGGCTCGTACACAAAATAGATACAAGTTTCCAAATTTCATCTAGACATTTCTGTCCATCACAGTTCGAAATTCTCCATCTAAATTTTCTTCACACGTTTCTGTGATTTAATAATCCCTGACAGAGAAAAAAGTAAACTAGTTTTTATACAAAAGAATAGACTCGATTTTTTATCTGTTTTAATCTTTTTGACGCGATACCCGCCGCGTGAATCCACAGGGATCGAAACTGCGAGGCGGAGAATCGCAGAAAATACGACAAGGCGAAAATTTTGAAAATCCCTCGTGTCTCCCTTGTCGAACACCGTGAATCGCAATTACTATCGAGCGTGTCAGGAAAATTCGTCGATCCTGCTACGCTCGCAGGTCCTGTGGACGGTGTCCTGGTTAGAAAAGGATCGCTTGCTTTTTCTTTCACGATGCAAAAAGCAACCAGGGTAACGGCGTCGAAGGGGCGAGCGGAGAGGGTGTAGCTTTTAATCGACGATGAAACAAAGCGAAAACAGAGGCTCGAATCGATCGAACCGTGCACGAATTCAAGCTTTTCCGCGTTGATTCATCGACTTTCCCACGAGGAAAAACGAAGCTAAAATGACCATTGGCTCGCATTGTTCTACGGTGGTGAAATAAAACGCTTCTCTTTGATGCTCGCCGGGGTTGGTTTCTCTTGTCCGCGCCGAAAGTAAACGAATACCGCCAGGAAAATGGATAATGGTTTAGAATCAACCGACATTGCGCTCTGTTTTTGTTTCGTTTAACAATTCGCACAGAAGAATCTTTTAATTAAAATGTTTCGTCAAGTTGAACAAAGTCGCGAACATCTCGAGTGTGTTAAACGATTAAATGTCCTCGTTCGCGGGGAATATTTCAATGATCATCGCGCAGAGAAGAACGTGCCGAGGTCCCGTGCAACCCCACGAAAATGGTCACGAATCTTTTCTCTTAAGAATTCTGCGGGAACGAGTAATAAAATATTTTTAGTTCGCGAGAAAGCCAACCCTCCGAGCCAACTCTCGGCGGAAACATCTGAGGACTTGCGAGAAACGAACGAGCCCGTTCACCGCTACCCCTTCGCTTCGCCTTAAACCCTTATTAAAGTTATAACGCGTCGCATCGGAAATATTGGCAGTACGTTAGTGAATTGAAAGACTCGTTATTCATGTTCCTCGCTTCCTTCGATCGCGTGCTCTCTCGATCTTCTCGTTTCCTTTACTCCATTTTTATCCTTTCGTGCGCGACGAGAAAAAGAATTACAGGATCGAACGAAGTGCCCGTGACAAATTTTCCGTCAATTAACATCGATTCCGTGATATTTCTCGAATCTTCTCGTTTCCCCTGCTTCGTACAGGAGAAGAATCGCAGACATTAACGTAACTAATTCGAGATGTGGGTCCCCAAAATATTGCGGGTAGCGCGACCTCCTAAATTCCCTGATTGAAAAATGAAACAGTGAACCTAGGAGAGCCACCTCGAATAACAGTGCTAGTTACGCCAATGATCGCAGGATCAAGGAAAACATCTTTGGCAAATTTCCTGCCTATCTAAATCGATTCTCTGATATTTTACAAACGTCTTACGCTCTCTCGAGTACCATCGTATCTCATCCCTCCAAAATTGCACTCTAGTACCTCCTCGATACACGGCGGTTTCCTCCCTCGCTTCTTCCGTTTCTATCTTTTCGTGCACGTCGAGAAAAAGAATCGCAGGATGGAGAAAAATATCTTTGGCAAATTTTCTCTCGATTAAAGTCTCCTCCAAGAGCTATCGTTTCTTCCATTTTCTTTCATCCCTCTAAAATTGCACTCTCGAACCTCCAATATTTTCGTCGATCCTCCTCCTATTTTTATCTCTTCGTATACGTCGAGAAATAATATTGCAGGATGGAGAAAGATATCTTTGGCAAAGTTTCTGCCGATTAAAATCAATTCTCTGACGTTTTATAAATCTCTACCGTGCCCAACGTTTTCCTCTATTTCCTCTTCTATTTCTATTCCTTTGTACGAGAAGAAGAATCGCGGAAAGTATTTGTCGCTAATTCTCCGTCGATTAAAACCGATTGCCCGATATTTGCCGAATTTCACCCTCTGTTTTCCTTCGACCCCTAAGATTTCTCGTTGAAGACCGATCGATTAGCTCGTGAATCACTCGCGCACACAACGATTAGCGACACGATTCCCAGGTAATTTTATTACCGGGAACCCGGAGGAAATTGGAAGTCGAAGATCGAGGAACATCCGCGAAGAATCGCGAACCGGAAGCAAAGGCGCGACTACTCAACAACCAGAGGCTAATTAGTTTCAACAACTAATCTTGAAGTAACTCACGCACGCTGCTGTATTTTCATCGTACAATTTCTTTCTGGTTTTCTTTATTCGTTTCAACGGCTTCTTCTTCACAGAAACAATATGGCTTAACAACTTAACCCGAACAGCTTTCAAATAAATAAATAAATAGAAATAGAATTCGCGAAATAAGTCGCGAAAGTAGGGAAAGATAGTCGAATTTCGGATTAAGTTCCAGCCATTTCTTGCGACTGTGCTCGTTTTTATTCTTCTTTTTAGACTCGATTACTTAATCGCAAATTATCATTCGCTTTTAATACGCAATCTTGCGATACAATCGCAACTGTTTGGACGACAAAGGATCCGACACATTACTCTCGATTACCTCTACGAGTATATTATATAATAATCTTCTGTTTTCATTCATTTGGATTCGCGTTTACGTCTTTTTCTAGCTACGAGGCACCGAACCGCGTCTCGAAGAGTCTTCAACCCCTTCAGGTACAAACTTCTTAAAAATAATAACAGCAATGACAGAGTCAATTCAATTAAGAAAGAGAAGAGAAAAATTCTGAGTAACTTAAGCTATAATATTGATATTGTGATTCAAGAAAAAAATTTCTAAAAAAATATTAAAAAATTCTAGCACTTCCAATATGTATGGCCAGTTTTGTCATCGTAATTAACGCGTTAAAATGAGGTAAATGCACCTGACGATTCGAATAAAATCCCTAAAGGGGTTAAATTAACAATATCTCGATTCTTCCCGTAGATTTGACGCGTTCTATTTCGCAGCCGTCCGTTTGATACAATTAATCGTTGATTACCAGATAGCAATCGGCCGCTATCTTGTCGCTGTGTTTACTCGTGGCAATTACAGGCTAATAGGTTTGATAAAGCGAGCAGAAAAATCAGTTCTCGAACAACATCGACGAGATGGCGGAAGGTTGAACGGGCCAATCAATTTTTCAATGAAAAGCGTTCAACGCTTGAGGAGAAGCGAGGTAATCCATGGAACGAAAAAGAAAAACATTTTCTCGAAGTCGTCCGGTGTGCAATTCTGTTCCCTTCTGGTTCTCCGGTGAAAAAAAAACAAGAAGTTAAGTCGGACGATCAATTCTTAAGCACAGATTGCTCGAGGTTCTTTAAAAGAAATAAAATAAAAGGCACTTCAATTTCCTGATTGAAAGAAGATCATTTATCTTGGTATAACCCGAAGAGTTTGAAATGATTATATCATTATTTCAACCCCGTATCGGGGTTCCCTTCGGATAATTACGATTCGCTTACGTATTAAAACTGATTTGAGAAAAAGAAAATCAAGACGGTTAGAATCACGGAAGAGGTTCGGTGCCTCGAAACGATTTCTTCTCTCACACACTCAGGCATGCATACTAGTTCGAAAGTTGATTTAGAATTTATTTTATTGCGCGACGCGAGGGTGCTGCAAATGTTCGTGTATCTGTGTGTATGTGTGTGTATGCTTGTTCCTATCACCTGTATCGAGTGGTACGTTCACGTGTACCTGTATAATATATCTGTATCTTCACGTGTGTATATATATATATTCTTTCTTTTTGTTTTTTATAATATAGTATATATATATATTTATATCCTCTCTCTCTTTCTTGTTTGTATTTGTTCGTGTTCATTCGTCGGATCGTTTTTAATTACAAAGTTAATTACAGACAACACGAGACTCCCCATTCACGATTATTTACAGCGAGCACGAGTTTTAATTGAAACACCGATTCTTATCCTATTTATTTCAAGTTCAAACGACGACGTTCGATCGATCGGTTGATAAGAATCGGTTGCTCGATCGACAGACTATCATCTAGGAAATAAAGAACGGAAAATGGACTTTGGAGAGTTTTTTTGAAAGAACGAGGGCATCATCTTACGTTTACTTAGAGTACCAAGGTACGTGGGTCCCTGCCAAACGCGCGCGATCATCCCGCTTTCCGCTCGAGAAACACGCTCGCGAACACGAAATCGAAAAACAGTTCTCGTTTCACCGCTTTTCCGCTTACGAGCGCGCTCGTTTAATCCTCTTTCGCTGCCTTCTTCGGCCCCTTTACATTCGATTTCCGAACCTTTCGATTGGATTTCTTGTACTTGTCATTAGTAGAGACTTCCGATAACTGTCAACTACTCAGCACTTCAGATTTAACGTATGAAAATTTTGAAGGCGCCAAATATATTATTAATTTTAATAAGTCCATCGAAGTATCGAATAATTTGTATATTTATTGTTCATTTTAAAGAACCTTCAAAACTTCCAAGATCAAAGCGATTTGCTCAAATCTGCTTATTCCTGTAAGACCAATAGTTTGCAAAAATTTCAAGTGGTTCTATTAAAAATCGCAGCTAGTAATCACTGAGCGAACTAACTAAAGTTGATTGTAATATCAAGAACATCTACTTTTCTCTTCTAACACCCAGATATGCTTGTCATTCTCCCAGAATTATTATACGAAAAGTACAAAGAAAATATCGTGTCCACATCCAAGTTAACCTCTTGTAACCTATTTATTCTAAACATTACAATTCACCAATGTGTCTAATCTGTTCAAAACCATGAATACTCTGATAAACTTCGAGAGAAGCTTGATTGAACGTTTGAAGTTAACTAGTTCAGACTCAACGATTATACGCAAGCTCTACTAATAACAAATATAAGTGCACATAAGCTTAAACTCTTTCGAAATATGCATCGTTTCACAGGGATCGATCAATTTTCACGGGGTGCTTTGTATCGCGAGGACTTTTTTTAAAAATCGACTCCTTACATCTACACCTGGGATATCTAGAGGACCTGCGACGACCGTAATCAAAAGGTTGCTCCTTTCTGATCCTCTGATTCTTTGATATCGATTTTCGAGGTTTCGTCGAGAGAAATAACTCATGTGTGGATAACTGGATACTCTTTCACAATTTTTTCTAACTAAAACCCTATATTAAATTGTCCACGGAAGAGTTCTTGGCAAAATTTCAAGAATTCTTTCAAAGATAAAGTTGCAGGATATTTCGTTAATCGCCTCGAATCACAATTTCTTCAAAGTCCTATTTAATAAAAAAGGTAATGACAAAAATGGTTATCATCAAAGCACTCGATTATCCATGGAACGTTAACTATTTCATCCTTGGCAAACTTTCAATTTTTGCTAAAGAATAAACGAAGTTTTCCGATCGCTTCGAATGACAATTTTTCGAGTTGTGCAAAATGAAAATGTTAAACATCAAAGCTCGAACGAGTAGCCAATTGCCCACAGAAGGGTTAACTGTTTCTTCGTTGGCACGATTCCAAGCGTGTTTACAAAAGGAACATAGAAAGTGAGCGTTTCGTCGATTCACCTCGTGACTACAGTCGTTTCCTGTCGATTTATCGGCACGCAGAAATCCCGGAAATAACGAGAGACCGCTGGAACGCGCGCCAGTTGTCCCGGAAGTCATCGAGTCGCGTTCCATTTTCCGCTGACGAGTTCGAAATTGAAAAACCTGTCCGTTCGATCAGAAAATCTTCTAGATAAATCGTGTATAGTGTTCGATATGGTTCGCCTAAATGTCACGATTTCTCTTTCGTTTTCTCCGAAGAAACAACTGGCGCGATTCGACGACGCGGGATAAAAATTCATCGATCCTGTTCGTGTCGAACAGAAAGAACAAGGTGTGCAGGCTCGTGTGCGTGCATTAACGAATCTTCGTGCTCGAAGATGCAAAGAATTCCAGGTACAACAAGCTCCTCTTCCGGTTTCTGGTTCCATAGAATTTTTGTTCTTCGAGAACGAGCGGCTTCCGTCCTCCTCGAGGACGTCGTGGATCCTTGCTTGCCGTCTCGACATTCCGATCGTTCTGCAGGATCCTTTCTTTCGATTTTGGCATCGTCTCTTTTTCTTTTCCTTACTGAAATTAAAAGGGACTGGTACTAGCGGCTTCCGGTACTGCATGGCCGTTCGAGAGCTCGATCGAAGTGCTTGATCGTCGTCTATTTTACTTTGTCCCGTTATCACAAAATTTACAGTCAACGACCAACGAGTTAATACAACGTTTAACAAAATTTAGCGTCGTTCGAGGTACTAAACTCGAGTCTTAAATGTGCCAAAGTAACAGTCTGATGATCCTTTCATCAGACCCAGCCATTTCAGAAGAGCAAAATCGTGCTAATTATTCGAGGCGATGAAGAGAGATTTGAAAAAGTGAGGACGATAGAGAAACTGATAAGAAGATAGGTGTCTGTTCCGGGGTCGTTGCTTCGGAACCGATGGCTCATTGTTCCCGTACATTTGAGGAAGCCGTGGAAGTTCGCGGGTGGGAAGTAGGCCTCTTTTGAAAGTCGGTCACGCCGCGAAGGGAAGAAAGAACCGATTGTTGGGCGAAGAGCAGCCCTTGGCAAAACGGAGAGCGGCTGAAGAGCAGGAAAAAGAGAGCGGCTGGTCGACTCGAGTGTTCCCGGGTGTAAGTGAAGCCTTTCGCGAAAGTGCTCGTCCCGCTGACAACGAGCTTATATAGCCGTGTTCGTCGCGAAAGAAATAACATTTGGTAGCTGCTTCATCGATAGGCGTTCGTTAACGCGTTCAATTTAACGGAAAGAATGGATAGTTTGCATCGAAACGTTCGCGTGGGAATTCCGATCGGATACGGGGGATGCAAAGAAACGGGGACCGGCAACAAACGGCACGGGATACCATAAGTCGATCCCGCGTTTCAAGCTCGTCACCATTTGAACAAGGATCAGGAGAAGCCGCAGAACGAACGTGGGGGAAGGGTATCTCGCCTGTGCAAATTTGCCTTCGACCTCGTTTCGAGGATCAGGCTCCTTTCGTGCTCTCGTCGCTCTTCAACCGACTGCTCGAACCCTCTTGCCAGCGATATATTCGAGTAACGTGCTTCGTCGATCGATCATTGGCCGGTTCATCCACTTCGCAGCCGGCTCGAACCCGGAAACGGGGTCGAATCACGGCCGTGATGCTTCTGGATTATCGAATCATGCTGTAAACGCGATTAAACGAAAAGTCGAGGACCCTACGATACATAGGGTGTTCTTCCAAAACAATTTCCTATTTTATTCATTTCCAATTTCCTACGAAGCCCAGATTTTTCATTTTAACAACAACTCTTTTAACATTAAGAAATTAAATAATATAATTGTTCTTACTGTATCTTACTAAATTTACATCGATGAAAGTTAAATGAAAATATCACATAGTGTCTTTAAAGAAGTTAAGTAGGAAAAGAGCGTTAAATTATTAATTGCATTTGTCAACAGTTACAGACATACGAAATTTAAAACGCCAACGAGTGTACACAGCGTGTGGACTTAGTCTAATACCTTGAACAGCCGTATAAGTTCAAGGTAAACGTATCACGAAATCGACCACGTGTGAATGTTTGAGCTGAGCTGTTTTGATCCTTGAATAAACGCAACACGAAGTCATCTTCGACATGGACGCCGGAATTTGCAGCCATCTATCGCTCTCAAAGCAGCTTTGTGGCGTTTCTCGACAACCTGGCGAAGGCTGCGCTAATGTTGACCGACCAGCTCCTGCACAAAGCCAACGTAGACCGGAAACACGAAGCCTCTACACGCGTTCGATCGAACTACACCCTTAAAACTCGACCGCGTAGCTTGCGAAATTCTTGCTGAACTTGGACAACCACCAACCCTACGCATCCACAAATTACGTTTTGACAGTCCGCTGCTGTTATTTCGGGCAAACAATCATTTTGGTCCTAACATTTATGGAATGTTCTGAAAGTCCAGTAAATTTTATGCGTTGCTGACAGATCAGAGATACACTGGAATAAACCTATAATGACTTTGCATAGTCTCAGCTATTGTGATAACTAGGAGGTGGATAATTTTACTAACAGCGTCACTAATCGCCAGGGATGATCGAGTCTGAAATCCTACTCTACAATCCTGAAACAATGTTTAGATTCATGCCAACAATCGGTTAACCGTGTTTACGGTGGTCGTACAGTTGAATTTCGTAGCAATTCCGTGAATTCTCCGGCATTGTCTATCCAGGTTGCTTTCAAGCATTTGTTTGCGAGTTGTTCTCCCCCGAGACGTTGAACGTCCACGACGATCAAGCACGACGATCTCCGGTATCCAACTTGATAAAAGCGAGCCTCGATGCGTCTTCGTGAACGAATAAGCTCTCTCTTTCTTTCTTTCCCTCCATCCAGGACGATAAAGTTTGATCAGCGTCGAGAACCGGCGACTTTCTTGCGGATTTAAGGGACAACGCCTCTCCTAAATCTTGGCTGCAGACGCGCAGCTAAGTCTGCCACCTTTCAGACGAATCTTGGCGGCTTACGTCTTACGCGAAATCGATTTGGAAGGTTGAAAGCGACGCGTCGAGCTCGTAGCTGGATTCTCGCAACAGCCATGCAAAGAGAGAAGGGAATAGAGCGCTGTATTCTATAGATAAGCACCCGCTCTATTGAACGCTACGCGCACGATGCATTCAAGAACGACAGTTTTCATTCTTTCTTTCTCTATCTTTCCGAACGGACGAAGAATGTTCGTGTTGAAGAGTATAGAGCCAGCGGAAGTAGTAAGCGAAATTCTCTACTTCCGGTGACTGGGAAATAAAGCTGCAAAGAATGTAGAGGTTAAGTTACTCGAGCCTTAGTCGGAAGTAGTCCTTTCGATATTATTCGCCATTTGGGTTACGTTATGTTCGAATTATCGACGATGCAAATCATTAAAATCCACGTTTTAAAAAATAATGAAAGAACGATAAAAAATTGTCGAGAACAGCCACCACCAAACTGTCACTCCCGACACTCCGAAATTGAAAGGAACGTTAAGAAAACTGAACGTTTCTAGACTACTTCCGGCTGGCCAGGCGATTAACAGAGGCGTACAAACCGGACGATAATAGAGATCGTGAATGCAGGCTCACCGTTCTTCCGGCCAGTCGGCCATTGTTCTTTCATCGAGTAGAAGAGGAGGACGGTGATGGTGTTTGTTAGAGGTGATATTTATTTTGTTTTTGTTCATAATAGCGGATATGGTGATCGTGATTGGTCTCGGTGATCGACTCAAGCGGTCTCCGATACCGGAAGCGGTGGCTGCCCACCGGAAGTAGTCATGGCAGGCGCGGTGTTGGTGGTGGTGGTGGTGGTTGGGACCGGAAGTGGCTGTAGGGCCTGCATGTCACAGGTGTGGGAACCGCGCTTCTTTAGGTCCTGGAACAATTCGCATTTCGGAAATGTTTCAATTTAGATTCTTCGTCCATCTTTCATATTCTTTCAGCTTTCCTTTCTCTCCCATTCTCTCTTTCTTTCCTCTTTCACTCGACACCAAACACACCAATTCTCTCTCTCTCTCTCGTTGTGTCTACGTTTCTAGAGCAACTATATAATCGTAATAGGCGAGATTTACAAACTATATCTCTACGTCTCCTCTCTCCCTCCCTCCTCTCCATAAATCTCTCTCTTTCTCTCGTATTTCTCTTCAACGTTCAACACCTCTTCGTGTCTTTCTCTCAAGCTTCTCGAGTACCATTTTCTGCGTTTCGACAAGAGGACACGAATGTCCCAGTGACGAGCTTCTTTCCCGTTCCTCGTTTATTTATTACTACTACTCTTTTTTTTTTCGAATGAAATGGAATGAGAGATGCGAATCTCGCGTGATCTTCAACCCCGTGGCATCGATCGAGTTGTTTAAAAATTGAAAAACCACGCGATATCCAGAGAAAGGATAGCGAATCGTGGATGCCACAGGATCGTGTTCGAGGTTTCCGGTTAATCGTCAAGCGAGTCGTCGGCGAAGTTAAGATCGAATCGAAGAGAGATGTTCGAGAGGAAGGGGGTTAGAATGAAAGAGACACGCGAGCCACGTGCATAGGCTACCTCAAAAACAAAAAGATAAAGTAGAAACGGAAAATACATGCGAAAGGTACAGTGATAAACAAGACAAGAAGATTCGGATAAAAAGCGGACACAACGGTGCTACGAAACACAGTCAGTCCAACAATATCGAAACAAAGATATGATAATTACAGCAACAAGAACAATATTTTTATTCAAAGTGACGGTGAACAGAAACAGTGATAAAAGTAGTGTGGTGTGGTGGAAGAGAGGTGAACACGATCGATTAAAAAACATGCCAGGTGCAACATATGATCCTTTCGACAAGCCATTAATTGCAAAAGTCGAGTGTCTTTGCAACGAATTTTTCTTACCCGATACGATTTAACCTCTCCATATACATATTATCTAATCGTTTGAAGGCTCGTTCAGGTCCTTAGAGGGTTAGTACGATCAAGGAGAAATTTAGGATGAATCCTGTAGGGCGTAGGATTTAGGACTTTTAAGATATCGGAACGTTCAAATGATTAAATAACAGGTACATAGAAGTAAATCGTACAGCGTTAAGCCAATCGTTAAATAATCAAGAACATTACGAATATTCTTTTTCGTAGAATTCTTTGAGCTCGTGTACTCACGTGCAGTTCGGATTGGCTTGGGTTAATAATCAGAAGGAAAAAGTTCATAATGCGGTGCATCGTGTGTATAAGGGTGCATTTCGAAAGTTGCTCAGAGGATATAGTACATACACGTCGAAGCTTCGTCACAGCACATTGGTAGTTGGTTGAACTTTCGGTCGTGTGAAAATAAAAGCGGACCTGTCTATCAACGAGGCTTTTCTGTTGCCTCGTATTCCTACTGACCGAGGCAAACTTCTTGTCTCGAACGCGTGTGCACGAATAAACGTAGCCTCCGACGCAATGGTTCGCGTTCGAGTCGAGAAAAAAGGGTAATGGCGGTTAATCGTTGATCTACGTCAGCGACCGATTTATTTATGATCCCTGGTTCCCTTTTTAGAACGTCTTGATACGTTCACAATACCGTGAATCATATGGGCTCTGTAGACACGACTCGCGTATCCTGTGATTCATACATGTAAACTTTAAGCGTATGTAGTTTTCACGACTGTCGATACGCTTTACTTAAAAATTTCAGTTGCATCGACCTGTAAGTAAAGAGTACGACAGATCTTGCATTGCGAAGGCACCAACACAGTGACACGATATAAATTAAGAACATTAAATGCAAATTGCTGTTTTTGAACACCATCATTTTCTGTTTGAAATTAATGGTATCGTTTCCGCTGCGTTTAGAGCAATTTATCCGTCTCTAATTTGTTCAAATTAATTCGCAACGAAATCAATGACCCTCCTGTTAATCAATTTGCAATTTCGATAACAATACTGCTATTTTGAGGGTAAACGTTCTCTCCGTTCGCTGCAATAAATTAGGATCGTAATTTCAACCTGTATTTCAGGTTGTCAAATAATTCTGTCTAAGTAGAAATAAATTGGAACCAGGGTCCATATTTATTATCGGTCTCCAATATTAGCTACAAAATTGAAAAGTTTCGTCGAAAAGTTCAATAATCTTCAACTTCTTACGGAAAGCCTGGATCCTAATCGCAAAAATAAAAAGAAAGAACACAGATCAAAAGATAGAAACGAAGAATAATCGTCGGCTGCATGCAGAAACCTCCATATATTCTGATGAAAATCCTGCAACTGGATCTGAGCTCCGCAATGCGGTCCTCTATTTCAAACTACACGTCGTGAATAATCTCTCGAAGCATGAAAATAATCAAAATCAATTTTTCTTCTCCTTTGCGCGATTCATCAAATTTTTCAGCTCGAAATTCGAACAAGAGACGCGAACAAGCTTTCGCTCGCTGTCATTTCGCTTCCTTTCGCTCGTAACGCATCAGGTACGCGTGTTGTTCTTTTTCGGCGGCGCGTGTACGCGTTATTTCAGTCGCGACGATAAAACGAGGAGAAAAAGGTACGTCGCTTTGTTCCCGATGCATCGATCTACCTTTTCGTCGAGCTCGTCGTTTCGATAACGATGTAACGGTATCGGAAAAATGGAAGAGTACGGGAAAATAGGACACCTTAATAATCGACGGAAAATTTTAATAACAGCTGCTGGAATCTGCTGAACTTCTTGGAATTTCGGAATTACGGATCCTTGCGATTCAGGAATTCTTAAGGAACTTTCGAATTTCGATACTTTGACACTTCAGAAATTTGTAACTTTGGAATCTCGGAGCTTTGCTTCGAAAATTTTTAATACAAAAAAAATAACGAAGTTTGAAAAAATCTCTATAACGAATCTCGCAAAAGTTTCAGAATATAAATCAATTTCCCAGTCTGGTCATCGACACCCGAGTGGCAAAAAATCACGGATCGAGTATGTGAAATGCATGGGTTAGCCCGTTACTCACGCAATACAAGGAAAACGCATTAGGAGCGGCGGATGGGTCCACGTCGTCTTTCTAGACGGGGTAAATTAATCATCGAGTGGCGGCGGACGAGAATGAGATGGCTCGCTTATTAAAGCCGTGGAGAAGGCCATTAGTCGCAACACGCGCCGCGGAAACTTTAAACGGGCGAGCAGAACCGTTAAGCGAACCATCGTAAAATAAATCGTCGGGGCACGATGGCGAGACGTTAAAGGTGCTCGACGACGCGACGAAAACTGTGCTCCAAGAGCTCCAAGTTTGATTTTACGGTAAAAGAGGAGTAAACGTCGACATATTGAAATACGGAGAGACGAGGGAGTATCGCGAAAGATTCGTTGAACGAGGCGTTAAATTCCGCTAACGACGAGCTCGAACTTTATTATTCGCAACCGTTATTCTATACACCGACAAATTTTCTTCTTGTTAAACCTATTATCAGCGAAATTTACTGCCTTAAAATTGTTATTTTTATGAAAAATGAGTCGAGATCACTGACCTGTAAATACTCGAGCGAAAGGAAGCACAAATATTTTTTAACATAATCCTCTGGAAAGAATTGATTGCGGCCCAGATAAATATCGGACAAGTATCGAGCAAACGATCGAAAGAAACCATAAAAACCCTAAGCTCATAATCTGTGTCGATTTATATTGCTATCGAACACTTTCTTGTAACTTTCCCAGATTTGTCTCCCTTTTCTCCTTAACTGTTGATAGTAGAAGCGCAACATTGCTAAACGGTAAGCTCGCTAAAGAAAAGAAATTGAAGCTAACAGCGGAATTTCAAGCGACAAGGAGAGGATAAGAGTAGTTGGATAACACCGGGAACAGCAAGATACGCGTCTTGTTTAGTTGCAGAGAAGAAGAGGGATGAAACGAGGGAGGCGACGAAGCATTGCCGGATCACCAGAGTATGCATAAATCAGAAGCCAGATCAAGAATCAGCCGCAACACGATGGATTCCAGTTAGGCACCATGCCAGACGGGTTTCGTGTCTGAAAGAACTTCCGTCTTTTCTCCTTGGGATGTGGATGGCCGCGATAGACAGGAAAAGTTGCAAGGTTAAATCAACCAAATGTAGGGAAATGAGAGAGGATAGTACTGTCCACAAGTTCTATTACTGGGAATTTGGAAATTCAGAGATTGCAACTTTGTAAATGCCAAAAGTACGAATTCGGAAAGTTGGGAATTTGAAATCTGAGAGTTTGAAAATGTGAAACCTAGCCTTAAAAATTAAATTTCAACGACCAGAATGTTGTACATGAATTTAATTTTGTAAGTAGGCAATAATCATGTAATTAAATATGTAAAAGATGAATTTAGAATAAAAAAATAGTATGGACAGTACTGTCAGAAGAGAAGGATGGAAGGGAAGTGTTGCGGTGTGAAGAAGCAAAGGAGAAATGTGTTTGTCGGGGAAAGCAGACACCCAGAAGCCAATCCAGGGATCAGCCACCGCGACACGATATATTTTCGACCACCAAGGGGATGCATGGGGAGGCTTTCGTGTGTCCTTCGTCCTGATCCTTTCGTCGAAGGACAAGAAAAGGTGCCTCATATTCTCCCATCGGTCACACAAGTATATTTTATAAACATCTTGAAATATTGAGCGCTTGCACGCGATCGTACGTGTTCATCGTAGTGTGTAACGTGTATGTTCGTATATGCCAGGACATGTTTCGTTGTTTCCTTCGACCGATGTATTTTCGATTCGAAATTGAATGTTTCATCCGAGTACTCCTCTTAAGTGATCATATTTTACGTATTTATTTTTGTCAGGTATATTCGACGGTAGCTTTAGAGTTCTTGTACGTGAAAAATATTTTCGAACAAGGTTTTGTTAAAATTCTTAGCGTTATGACATGCAGTAAAAATTATTGAAATGAAAGAGGTTAAAAGGAATTAGAGAGAAAGTTATAAAGAAAATGTTAGAACGAAATCCACGTCCACATATAAAAGCAACGCGTCGCACACGAGAAACACGTACGTCGCGGCAGGCACAAAAATACACCGAGACGATATCGTTAACACAGTCACATAAATGTACAATAACGATGATCGTGTCCAAAATTGTTGTCCAGGTAACACGGTTTTCTTTACCTTTTTCCGTACTTGTATACGGTCTCCATATACGAGCACCACTCTATCCTTGCTCTCGTTCGAGGTGAGCTGATAAGACAGGCTCTAAAATTGGACGTGATTTTCAGCGGCCATTGTTTCGATAGCGCCGCGATTCAATATACATATATACACATATATATCATTTATATATCCATTTGTTCGTATTTTCAATTAGACATTTCGTTCGTCATTCGTACAGCATAGATTTTGTTTCGATTGGTTCCATCGTTAGCGTGTATGTTCGTTATCGTGTGAACGTTGTTTGTTCGAGCGTCGTCCAAGCGTGCGAAAAATGGGCAAAAAGAAGAGAGAGAGCGGGCGAGAGATAGAGAGAGAGATCCACATCGGGGGTTCATTATGAATTTCACGTGGACGAATCGTTTATTCGATGTTTGCGTATTCCAGTATGGTTTTTTCCCAGTTTTTGTTTGTTATCATCGTTTTATTTCGTTTCGCGTATCGTAATCACGTACTCGTCGAGGATACGTTTGTTCCCAGAATGGATAACGAACGGATGAACAGAGAAGAAGATGCGAAGAAAAAGAGGATGTCGGTGTCGCAGCGAGTAGGATGAAACGGGGACGTTTTTGACGGATGACCAGCGACGATGACGATGATCGGTCGAAGAAGTGATGCGATGTCATCGGTAGGTCCGGTTCCCATGTGGATCACGGCGGTCGTCGATGAACGGATGGCACGGAAATGAGGAAATAGAAGAATTTCATTGATTTGTGTGTACTTTACACTGTGTGTGTCTTTGTGTCAATTTTGATGCTTATATTATATACATATTTATTTTATTTCTGTCGTGTTCTCGCCACTCTCGCGTGACGACGTCGTAACTTATTCACGACTTTTTATATCTTCCTTGTCGCTTTCTATTCTCTTTTTTCTCTGCGAAAATCATCTCGTCCGAGTGTTTCTAGTGTGTCTGATCTCGTGTTACCTTTCCTTCTCGAAACGTGACGGACAGATTTTTTTCTACGTTTCGATCTCTGTTAATTTACTCTGCTCTACATCGGTCTGCTCTATCTCGGTCTCGATTTTTTTGGAATTCTGTAGGTTTTAGGCGTGCTTTAACTCTAGACTGGCTAAGAAACGTTAAGCCGTTCAGAACGAGGCCTCGACGAGGTAAGTCCCGTCCATCGCAGCCCCAGTCTGTCCCCCTTGGGCACCCGTTACTTGGGCCCTTGTCGCTGGGATGTACTGACTGTACGCCTGCTGAAATCCACACCACAAGCACACACTACATTGTTGCACGCTAAGCTCACCTACTCTAAATGTCTGTTCTACAACGACCATCTACGATCTATCTAATCGTCATTCTCGCAACCCCCTCAGTTTTATACCATTCTTCAAAGAACACCTTACTATAACACCCTAATTGTCTACATTACATCTGGCGAACCACTTGCCCACAAGGGCAATCACTGTACCGTAGTATCGGAAGCAACGCCCGCAGGGAGTGTAGAAAGGGAATCCAACGAGGGTTTCGGTTGCTGCTAACTTCCCATTCGGGTTTAAATATTTACGGCTAAATTTGCCTCGGATTACACCGCAGTATTTCAAGTTTAAGGGCAGCTCACCGTTCGCAAATCTGTGAATCAAGGAATCCAATAAGGGCTGGTTCGATTCCCATTTGGGTCAAAATGTATAGGACTGATTTGGGATAGAATATATTACGGGATTTCTGATTTATCAATGAAATCTGGAATCCAGGGAGTGTGATCCATAAGCTTGCGAGGAATCCAATCAAGTTTTCGCTACAAACTCTCATTTAGGTCAAAATCTATAGAGTTAATAGGAGTGTAATTGGGAAGCTCACGAGAATAGGAAGCTTTAAGGGGGTGTGGTCGTTGGAAAGTTTAGGGTTGGAGAAATTCATCGAGAAAAGTTTCCGAGGTCCACCATTGAAAGTATAAATGGAGGAGTCTCTCAAGCGAGGGAACATGGTTTCAAAAGACAAAATTCTCGTTTCAAAAATATGGACTAAAATGTTTTAGGAAAAGTATGAATCCGGTGGACAATGTTCATATAACGTTTGAAAGTTTACGAGTGGCGGAACCCGACAGGGAAGAATCCAAGAAATTATAGCCCGTCGTTAAAAAAGTTCTAAATAGAGAAACCCAAAAGAGATTTCAAGTAAAATCCTCCCCCGCTCGTAAATTTTCCGATACCTCCAAGTACTATAACATAGTTCACTCAAATCTACCTATTTTGACCCATATTTTTCGAGCAGTTCACCTCCTGGTTGCATTAAACCACATCCCCCAATGGGCGTTGCCCCAAATTCTACGGTATGGCAATTATTTTCTCTAAAGGTAAAAGATCCTTCGTGAAGAGGATGTAGAAATAAGTGAGCCACGCCCACGCGGGCAATGTCGGGGGTGAGGGCAATGTCCGTTGGTTTCCTCACGGGCAACTAGTACTCGTGGTACAGCGAATTTCCCTAGGTGAATCGTCGGTAGATCTAATCCCTATTTCAACCTAACAAACCGTCACGGAATCGTTACGAGGACTGATACGTGTTCTCTCGAAAAGTTCGGCTCGAAAGACGAACAAAGGGTGATTGGTCTATCGGGGCATCGTCTGCTGATGCTCGACTTTTTCGGGAGATCGGTTAAACTAGGCCGAGGAGAAACTTCCCTCGGCTTGTACATGCCGTGTTCTCTGTCATCGGAGAATGGAGTCTACGCAAACTTGGTTTCGCTGTTTGCTCGTTTAATAGACACTAGTTTCTACGTAGTTTTGGTAGTCTAACGATGCGCACTGTTCAAGTGTTTAATAACGACTTTGTTCTTGTCGAAACATTATGCGAGTCCTCTCATCCGTGAATAATTTCTTAAGATACGAAACACCCCAGCAAACACTGCAAATTATCCTCCGTGAACTTTTAACGTCGTTAAAAGTGTAATTGCAGAAATGTAGCTTCGAAAGAGCGTTAAAAATCATTCGAACAGTTTGCGTGCGAGGGTTGTTTCATCCCCGAAACTTTCCACGAATAAAAGAACAAGTGTCTTTTGGGTTCGAGCATTCATCGACATATTTGAAGTTGAATAAAATTCAGCGGAATAATGCTCGGCAATCGTCACGCGAGCATCGATCATCCTGTTTCAAGCGTGCTGTTGGAAAGTAACGCGAGAACTAATTTGCCCCCGTTAATTCAGCGTGCGGACCAACTTCCGTCCGGAACCAGCGAGTCGAACTTAATCGTCGACTTCAATTAAATTTAATTAATTCGCGTCTCAACCAGCTGCGGACCTGGTTCCACTTTCCAAACGCGTCACGATCAACGACCAGCCGGATTTTTTTTCCCACCGTCGGATAAAAGAAACACGGGTAGCGAATGGACGCTGACGCGTTTCCGAGACCAGAAAAATTGAAATCGTGATTTTATCCGCAGAGAAATTTTCGTACGACATTTTTTCCAAAAGTATTCGTTGTCTCTACAAAAAGTTAATTTCTTATTCTTTGTACTACAGATGTCGACCGATGATAAATAATATTCATTTATCGCTTTGAAAACTCGTACGAGGATCATAAATTTCAATATTTAGTGTCGCGAGCAGCTCGATCTCGTAGAAAACGTGTCTATAAAGATTATATAAAAGATTCACTGAAAGAAAGTAGGTTAATTAGAAGTCGTTGATTGATAATCGATCGAGAAAGGTCGCAAGAGTTTCTCGAACCGATCGAACAACCAAGAAGGACCATCGAGGCGTACGAGAAACATCGTCTCGCGAAATACTCCAGACGGGTCTTTGACCAATCCGTAACTCTTGGACGTCGTTTAAAAATCTAACAATTTCAACTGCAGCGTTTAACTTCGTCTCGTTTATTCGAGAGGTACACAGTTTCAGATTCATAATTAATTAGTCCAAGAGTCGATTAATTTCACGATTGCAACGAAACTCTCGCCTCAAAGGGTCCCACAGTTCTCAAAGGGAGGTTAAAGAAAAGAAATTTCGAAACAGGGATCACCCTCTGACCATATTTCTTCGTCTCTCTCCTCCCTTCATGAACAACTTTCGATTACATGAAACGAAAAAAGGATGGTATCAGAACTTGATTCTGAATCGTGAAGAGGTTCGCATTCATAAACAGTCTATAAACAGATATATGCTGGTAGCATGAAAAACAAGTGTGGAATAAGTGTTAAGTGTGCCAAAGAACCAGAGAAACAGACTCGATATAAAAATGAACATGTCCGTAAAAGATGCTCAATCGGTGACTAGCAGGCTTTCAGGGGGGCAACGATCAAAAATAGACAAACAAGTGGTTGACGTTTGGAGTCTTACCTTAAACGGGCGAGAACTGTTTCTACGGGATGAACCGCGCACACAACAGGTGCCAACAGTGCGTATATGTTACAAAATATACAGATATATTTACAAATACACGTGGGAGGGTCTATTTGAAGGGTGAAATCTCGATTGCAGATTTGTGACGTTTGGGACCGTAGTTATTGGCATCCTTCGATACGTTTCCCGTATTATTCGACACGATATCGCTTCGTTCGAATACATTGGAAACCGTTCGTGTATTGCTGGATTAAATTGCTGGATTAAATTGTCATGAGTAGCGTGGCAAAAATAAAGAACTCCCTTGTCCTTAACCTGTTAACCGAGGGTAGTGGGCTCGGTATTTAAATTACAATTAATTTAACTACGATCGAGGGTGTCATCTCTGAACAGCAATAGCGAAGGAATTTCACTCGTATTCAAAGGGGTAGACCAAAATTGCAACGCGAATAAAGTACTGTTTTTTATTTTAACTCCTGAAGTTTGATAATTCTGAAATTAGATTCAAAGAAAATAAGTATGAAGAAATACAGGTCAAGTAATCTGCAGGCCACGAATGCATAAACGTACACGGTGTAATTAAATGTATTAATACTCGTAAGGGTATAAAGAATAATAACGAAGTAAAGTGCGTTTAAATATGCGAAAGAAAGTCTGGAAGAGCTATAGCTGAAACGCGAGTTTTAGCTATCGAGTAACAATAAGGTTAACAGGTTAAGGCAACACTCGAAGACCTCTACTACCCGGCAATTACTTGGATCT